CGTGCTGTTCCGCAAGCAGCCCTTCCTCTGGCGGGCAGCCCTGCTCTACTACACCATCGAGCGCGCCAGCCGCCTCTCCTTCTCCGCCCTCTTCCAGGACCTGGAGCAGTACGTCCAGGACGCCGGCGTCCGGTGGGAATACTGCGTGCGGGCCAAGAGGGGGCAGACCGACACCTCGCGGCCAGGTGATGCCTGGGGAAGCCTTGGCCTTTGGGGTTGTAGTCCCTTGGGTTTTAAAGGGAAAAAAAAAAAGAAAGGTGGGAGTGTTTTGCTGCTGGGCGAGTTGAATGTTACTGACCCCACCGCTGTGATCTGCACTGCATCCCTTCTCATGCCTCCCCATCCCTGGCTCCACATCCCTTCCCATCCCTGGCTCCACATCCCTCCCCATCCCTGGCTCCACATCCCTCCCCAGCTCCACATGCCTCCCCATTCTCAGCTCCTGGCTCCACATCCCTCCAGATCCCTGGCTCCACATCCCTCCAGATCCCTGCCTCCACATCCCTCTAGATCCCTGGCTTCACATCCCTCCCCATCCCTGGCTCCACATCCCTCCCCAGCTCCACATGCCTCCCCATTCTCAGCTCCCTATCGCTCCCAATCCCTGGCTCCACATCCCTCCCCATTCTCAGCTCCCTGTCCCTCCCAATCCCTGGCTCCACATCCCTACCCATCCCCGGATCCACATCCCTCCCCAGATCCACATCTCTCCCTATCCCAGGCTCCACATCCCTCCCATCCCTGGCCCCACTCCCACTCCTGGCCGTGCCACCAGCAGGCCCTGGCTCACTGGTGTCCCCAGCTCCAGGGTCATCACGCTGGTTCCTGGGCTCGCAGACGCTGAGGAGAGCAGAGGCAGTTGGGGATCCAGGCTCCTGCTCCACAGCCTCTCCTGCTTTTCCAGGCTGTTTCAGTAAGGACCAGGTCTACCTGGACGGGATTCTCCGCATCCTGCGCCATCGCCAGACCATCGACTTCCCTCTGCTGGCTGCACTTGGAAAGGTAACACCAGGGAGCAGGTGGCTGATCCCAGAGCTCCATCCCACCCCAGGGCTGACACAGGCTCCCTCTGGGTCCCAAAAACAAGCCCTTAGCTGGCAGCTCTTCAGCTCTTTGCCCTTTGCTGCTCCACGGATCTTGGTGGAACAGGGGAAGGCTGTGCTGGGTGGGATGCAAGGAAGGAGGGACAATCCATCCTCATCCGTGGGAGACCTTCAGGGAGAGGCTTAACCCCTGGGCTTATGTTCTGCCAGCCCCTCTGCCTTGGCCACACTGGCCCTGCCATCACCTGTCCCTGCAGTGACAGAAAATGACCAATTCCTTGCAAATCTCCCTCCACCTGGCTCTGCTGGAGGGGCTAAGGGGGGGGGATCCAGCCCTCCTCCTCCTTGGTGTCCTCTCCCTGCTTCCCATCAGGTCTCCTACGAAGATGTGAACCGGCTGAAGAAGTTTGGGGTGCTGGAGAAGGCCCGAATCCCCCATTTCATGCAGGACCTGGAGAGGTACATGAAGCAGCTGGATCACATTGTCACCACCAATGGCCTGAACGAGGAGGAGCTGGAGCAGCTGCTGCCCGACTGAGGGGATCATCCCCCCAAAACCAGTGCCCTGAGTCCAGCACCAGTGCCCTTTGTTGGATATTTATTGGGGCTGGAGCCTGGAGGGCAGAGCCTGGGCCCCCTGCTCCGTGCCCAGGTGGCCACTGTGCATGTAGGGCTGGTGGGGTCGGTGTCCACGTGGAGCTGGGCACCCAGCCATGCAGGAGGCTGTGATGGGGTGGCTGCCGTGCGAGGGGGGTCCTTGGGGTGCCATGGGGGGGTCCCAACAGAGTGGGGACACCACCTGGGGGGCTGGGGGCCCTGGGCTAAGCCTGCCAGGGTAGTAAGGGCTGGCCCAGCCCCTCTGTCTGCATTTCCCGCTCCCTACCCCTTCCCTCGTGCCACCCACCAGCAGCAGGAAGGACTTTAACAGCCCCCCCAAACCCCATCTCTGCTCTCCCCCTGCCCCCTCAGATGTTTGCCCACCATTAACCATTGCTCTGCACGCCAAGGACTGGGGCCACTCTGCCTGCCTCTGAGGGGCAGGAGGGCTCGGGGTTGGGGGGGATGGGGCTCAGGCTTGGATGTTAAAAGAAAGTGTAATAAAAATGATGTCATGAAAAATAAACAAACCCAACCAGCCATGTGGGTAAAAGGTTGTGGCTCAGCTGAAATGCCAGCCTGGCACTGCTGTGAGGGCTGCCTGTGTCTGGCTCACCCAGGCAAAGCTGCCTGGCTCCAACTGGGGGGGGAAAGGGAGGAGTCAGGAGAAGGAAGGGGCACTGGAGGGTGTAAAACAACCTGCTGGGCCGGGACATTAATGAAGCAAAGGAGGAAGAAGCAGGTGCTGCCCTGAGCTGTGCCTGGGCTCTGCTGCATGGTCCCTGCTACAGTTGTGGCAACCCCTGCTGTGCCATCCCCTGCTCTGCCACCCCAGGGAGGGTGGGTTTAAAAGCAAGGAAAAAAACAACCAACCAACCAATGCCTCCAGATTTAGCTTTGGCTTCTTTTGGCCACATCCCTCCCACAGAGCTCCCACAAAGGCAGCAGAGGCCATTTTGTGGCTGCAGAAGCCCAGGCTGAAGCCCAGCAGCTGGTTGTGTGGCTGCAGGCCCTGCCCCCAGCACCCCCAGCTGCAGCCCCTCTGCAGGTGTTGCTGCTCTGGCTGCACAATCAAGCCTGGGAAGGGAGGAGACCACTGGTCTTGGTGGGGTTTCACCTCCCTCTGCTCCAGGTCTCCAGGGACACACACTGTTTTTGCCAGCTCCCCTCTGCCACCACCACCCCCCCAGCACGAACACACCACTAGCAGGGTCAGACTCTGCTCTTTAATGCACCACTTCCTCCAACGTTGCACTCCCCAACCTCAAACACGGTAACAGAGCTGCTTTAAAAAGGTATTTACACCCCCACCCCCCCAGCATCACCCCCCTTTGTCATCCAAGGAGCAAGGAAGGCCCCAGCTGGCCCTAAGGAACCAGCAGGAAGTCTCTCGCTGCCTCCCAGCAGCGATGGCAGAGGGTAATCACAGCTACTGAGATGGTTTGGGATGGGTTTTGGTCGCCTCCCTGATGGAATAACAGGATGGAGATGAGAAACAGCCTTTTTCACCTGCCTCCCCAGGACCGGGCTAGAAGCGTTTCATCTGGCGCCGCTCCTGGCGCCGCTGCTTCTTCTCGCTGGGCTCCTGCGTGGCGGGAGAGGCCTCGGCCGAGAGCCAGGGCCCCAGGATGTTCACCCACAGCAGGTAGAGAGCACGGCCCGGAGCCTGCACGACACACGGGGCACAGACCTGGTCACTGCCCACAGCTCTGCTGCTGCTGAGGGAGCTGCGGTGTCTGCTGGAGCGGGGGCGGCAGAGCCGGGGGCCGGAGGCCAAAGGGAACGGGGCTGGTTCCCAGGGCTGGGGAGGTTGCACACGTGTGCAGCACTTGGGGCTCAGGCATGGGACAGAACCACAGAATCACCCTGGTTGGAAGGGACCTTGAAGATCATCAAGTCCAACCACAACCTACATGCCCCAACCATAACCTCATCTACCCCTGCAGTGCTTAAGTCATGTCCCTCAGCACCACATCTCTATTACTTTTCAACACTTCCAGGGATGGTGACTCCACCACCTCCCTGGGCAGCCTGTTCCACTGTCCAACCACTCTTTGGGTAAAGAAATTCCTTCTAATATCCAACCTAACCCTCCCCTGGTGCAGCTTCAGGCCATTTCCTCTGGTCCTGTCATTACTCACTTGGGAGAACAGTCCAACTCCCACTTCCCTACAACCTCCTTTCAGGCAGTTGTGGAGAGCAATGAGGTCTCCCCTCAGCCCCTTCTTCAAACTAAACACTCCCACTTCCCTCAGCCTCTCCTCTCAGGACTTGTTCTCCAGACCTTTCACCACAGCTTGGGAGCTTCTCTGGACCTGCTCCAGCATCTCAGCATCAGGGGGGAACTACCCAGGAAGATCCAGCTGCCCCGACCTGCTGCCTCTCCCTCCTTCCAAAAAACCCACCCACATTTCTCAAAATGGAAACAAACATGACCCGGGTGCTCTCCAGGGGACAACCCCCTGCCAGGCCAGCTACAATCAACCTATAAGGACCAAAAATTTTCCACACTCCCAATATTGTTTTATGTATCTTCATGGGATGCACTCAAAGAAACTCTGGGATTTTTTTTTAACTAACTGGAGACTTTTTGTCCTTGTGCAAAAGCATTTTGAGCCAGAGGCACATGACAAATGTCTCAGGAACAAAAAGTCTCTGGTGTGTCAGGGGGAAATCAAAGCCTGGATCTGCCAAGCTCCAGTGTCCAGCAGTTCCCAGTCTGTGCTGGGGAATGAATGACTGTGAAAACCAACCAAGCAGCAGCACAGCCTGTTTGCCACAGCCCCAGAAAGGCTCTAGACACAAAGATGGCTTTGATCTGCCTTGTGTTTCTTGTTGCCCTTTCACAGGACCCCAGAGAAAGGCCAAGGCCAGTCTGGTTTTTCTGTGGTTGGCCCTGAGGGATCAGCACTTCTTCCCCTGGTGTGGCCTCATTCTTAACAAGGTTTGACAGGGAAATTGAAAAACAAAAAAAAACTGATCTGAAAATCGTTTTGGCCTGAAAATGGACACTGAAATAAAATGGATCAATCTTGTCCTCAGTGCTGAAGACACAGAACTTCTTATTTGAAGACAAGAACAGGGAGAACACAGAGCAACAAGGAAAACCACAGGGACTTACCAAGAGCCAGAAGTACCAGACATAGAGTGAGAAGCAGCTGAGCACCTGGACCATGGCTGTCAGCAGGATGACATCCTTGAGGTGCCTGAGGGAAGAAAAGCCAACCATGAACCTCCCCTGCCAGCCCCTCTGCCAGCACAGGGACCAAAGGGCTGTCCCTGCAGCTCTGCTCTGCCACACACAGTGATCTGGAAGAACCAGAGCAGTGAAGAGAAAAAAAGAAATAGATCTGCTGAGCTGAAGAGCTCCCTGAAAAGGCAGAGGGAGAAAGCTGAGGAAGGCAGGGGAAGCCAAACCATGGCCCCTGCAGGCTGTGACAGCAGCCAGCACCCCCCATGTGACACCTACCAGGGCATGTCAAGCCACTCAGGTACTCACAGCTGGTGGCACTCAGGGAATGTTCCCTGTGTCATGTCACAGGCTGACAGACACACTCGGGGTCCCCACTGGGCTGGAGGGGCTGCACAGACACACATCATCACCCACAAGCTGAGCTGCAGCTACAGGCTGTTCCCCCCTGCAGGGTCCTCCAGACCAGCCTGAGGCAGAGCTTGGCAGCCCCAGCTGCCCACACCCCAACCACCACCCCCGGGGGGACCTGGTGCCCAGCAGAGGTAAATGGGCAACTGGTTTTTCAACACAAGCCACAGGGAGTGGCTGAGATGGGATAGAAAAACACCAGCTCCTTCAATCCCATGAAATCATCATCTGCTGGAGTAAGAACCACTTGAGTTACATCCAGGAATGGAGTCAAGAGCAGAGGTGGTGGGAATGGAAGAGCTCATCTCCTTCTGGGCAGAGCAAAGTGAGCAGGGACAACTGGGCCAGGCTGGGACACCCTGATCAGCACAAGCCACAGCAGGACCCACCACCAGCAGCTCTGTGGGGCCAAGAACCTCACACAGCAGAGCCTCCCCCTTCCCAAGCCAGAGCAACAGGCAGCATCTCTGCCAGTGACAGGCAGCAGGAGGGAAACACACTGGCACATGCCCAGCATTCCAGAAGCTGCTCCAACAGAGCACACAGGGATCAGCTGCAGCACACGCAGCTGAGGGGCAGGAAAATTTGGGTTAGAGGGGATTTAGGTGAGACATGAGGAGGAAATTGTTTGGTGTGAGGGTGGTGAGAGCCTGGCCCAGGTTGCCCAGGGAAGCTGTGGCTGCCCCATCCCTGGCAGTGTTGAAGGGCAGGTTGGATGGGGCTTGGAGCAGCCTGGGCTGGTGGGAGGTGTCCCTGCCCATGCAGGGGGTGGGACTGGGTGAGCTTTAAGGCCCCTCCAGCCCAAACCAGCCTGGGATTCAGTGATTCTATGAAAACACCTGCTCTGAATGTCACTGCCAGCCTGGAGTGGCTCCCCCATCCCAGAGGGAAACCAGAGTGCTTCCCCCATCCCTCAGCTGACAAACAGACACACTCAGCAGGAGGAGCACAAAGTGCTCATTAAACTAATGAGACTCAGGGCTGAGGACTCTGGGCAGGCTCTGGTGCATAAACACAGGGTCGGGGGGGGGGGAACTTCAGCTGTGCAGGTTTTGGTTTTGCAGCTTTGCAGGTGCATCTGTTCCTTTTAACATGTCACAAAACTCACCCCACTCAGCAGGACACCCCAGACAACATCCAGCTTCTGCACTTTCCTTCCTGCACTGCCCTTGTTCTGTTTCACAAAGAAGTATCCAAAGTATTTCATGCTTCTCCTCAGGAGAGCCAAACCAGGAGAAAAACCCCCAGCTGACCAGCAGGGAAAAGAAACCACTGAAGGCTGAAGAGGGTGTCAAGCACCCAGCTCACAAATCACAGCAGAAATCACTTCCTCTCTTTCCATCAGAGAAGACAGTGGCAGGACAAGGGGTGATGGTTTTAAACTGAGAGAGGAGAGATTTAGGTGAGATATTAGGAGGAAACTCTTCACTCTCAGGGTTGTGAGGAACTGGGATGGGTTGCCCAGGGAGGCTGTTGATGCCCCATCCCTGGAGGTTTTTAAGGCCAGGTTGGAGGAGGTTTTGTGCAACCTGGTCTAGTGGTCCCTGCTCATGGCAGGGGGGTTGGAGCTTGATGATCTTTAAGGTCCCTTCCAACCTAATGACTCTATGATTCTGTGAATCTTCCCAGCCACCCTGTCCCTCAGCTGAGTCTCACACCACACACCTGAGAAACGTGCTGCTCTGCCAACCAGCACAGGAGAGCTCATCCCCTGCAGGCAGCACAGCACGTCCCCCTGCTGGCAACATCCCCAGGCATCTCCTGGCTGCAGAGGTAAAACTTTCTGTTAAGAAAAATCTATAAATCCATTCAGGGCCCTTCCAGCATGAGGACACCTGATGTGAGCAGAGGGATCTGACAGAAACAAGGCTGTGCTTCTTCAAAAGCAAAGAGAAACTTTCAACCTGGGGCTGAGGGTGTGGGAGGGAGGGGGCCAAGCACCCCAGGGACCTCACTGGGCATGTGCCAAAGGTCCCCAGCAAAAGCTGGAGAAGCTGGAGGCTGTGGGCAGGGAGGATAGGGAGCAAGTCTGACGTGATGACCACTGCTGGGCAGCCTTCTGTACATGGTTTGTGAACCAACTGCTGGAAAACACAGGTATCTAGAAGGTATTTCTGCTCTTTAAGAATCACAGGATGGCTGGGGTTGGAAGGGACCTCTGGAGATCATCTGGTCCAACCCCTCTGCCAGAGCAGGATCCCCTAGATCCCCTAGAGCAGATCCCACAGGAACACATCCAGACAGGTCTGGAATGTCTCCAGGGATGGAGCCTCCACCACCTCCCTGGGCAGCCTGTCCCAACACCCTCAGAGTAAAGAAGTATTTTATTTTCTCATTTAAATCACGTTGCAGGAATTACTGGTGTGTGTTCCTTGACCAAGGAAAAGAGGGTTGCAGCACCACCAAGACCACGAGGCAGGGAAACACTGCAGACAGGAGGAATGCAGAGCACAGGGGGCAGAAAAGGCTGAGGAGGTGAGAGGAGCTGGCTGGGACAGAGAGGAGACTTTTTTAGTGTGCAGAGCACAGCGTGTAGGCTGGTTTGCAGCCTGGGTGGGGCAAGTGGCAGTGGGTGCCCTCCTGCTCTGCCAAGCACCACCTGCAGTGCTGGTTCAAACAGAGCAGGTACATCTCTGTGTGCCACGGCAGCGTGCACAGCGTCGGTGCTGCCTCCGGGCTGAAAGCTGCTCCTGCAGGGATCTCCTACCTGTGCAGCTCAGGCTGGCACACCCCTCCTGGGGCAGGGAGCTCAGCTTGGGGACGTTCTTGGTAAAAACACCCACGGGCTTCCAGCTGTGCCCGCGGGCTGAGGGGGAGCCCAATCCCGGGGGGGGGGTCCCTCCGGGCTCTGCACACGCTCAGGCAGCAGCTCCTGCTCACCTGGGCTGGTGTGGACACTCACTCTGCCATCCCCTGCTCCATATTCAGGTCGATCCCCCCGTCGGCCAGGCTGGCGGC